TGGCCATGAAGTATACGTCGATAAATTCCTAAAGGTATAAAGAAAAATCCATTGCTGTTGAGTCTATTCCAACTCATAGCAACCCTGTAGGAGAGTATAACTGCCCATAGGGTTTCCAAGGAGTGGCTGGTTGATTTGAACTGCTAACTTTTTGGTTAGCAGCCGAGTTCTTAACCACTGTGCCACCAGGGCTCCAGGTATAAATAGGTCAGATTATATTCTCAGACCAAAGCGCAATAAAACTAGAAATTACTACTGTTAACACTACTGTCCAATACTGTAAATGAGTTACCAGTAGAAGAAATATGGTAAGAAAAAGAAACAAGAGGCATAATTTTGGAAAAGAAGAGGTAAAAATGTCATTATATTATAAAACAGCCTTTATATACATAAAACAAGACAATCAGAACATGTAAAAGGTAAAACAAGACCCCATTCACGAAAGCAACCAAAACCAAAAATTCTTAGCAGCAAGCCTAATAAGAAATATACAGAAATTTATATAAAAAGACTGTAAAAGGTGAGAAATATATAAAAGTAAACCTAAGTAAATGAAAAGTTCATGAATAAGAACACAATACTGTAAAAATTTAATTCTCCTTAATTAATCAAAAAATTCGATTATATCTCAACAAAATCCCTATTACATATCAAAGCATAATATAATTTTGTGGAAATTAAAACACTGGTATTTGAATAGAAACAGACCAAGAAGACAAACTGATCAATAGAATAGACACAAGAGAATTAGATAAATATTTGAAAACTTAGCTTATGATAAAAATGGTATTTTGACTTGGTGGGAAAAGGAAAAACTACTCAAAAACAGCTGCTGGGAAAACTGGCTAGTATTTAGAAAGAAATAAAGTTAGATCTCTTCCTCACCTGCCCCCACTCCCCATACACACATATAATTTCAGATCAATAAAAAAACTAAGTGAAAAGTTAAACTGTAAACATATCAGAAGAAAGTATAATTAAAAAATTTAATAATATTTAAGATAGGAAAATTCCTTTCTAAGTGACAGACGAATCAGCTATAATTACAAAGAGTAAAAGATCTGACTACACAAAAATAAATTGTATGTGATAAACAAGTCATAAGGTCAAAGAATTTCTCATAAGAAGAAAATATTTACAGAATATGTAACAGAAAAAGGATAAATATCCAGAATATATATCTATAAAGAAATATATAGGAAAATATAAGGAAAAGATTTAAAATCCTATAGAAAAACCAGCCAAGAGTATGAAGAGGCAATTCATAATACTAAATGGTGAATAAAAATGAAAAGCTCTTCAGTTTCACTAGTTATCAAAGGAATGCATATAACAATAGAGAGTCCCTGATCGAGCAGGAGAAAGGTGGGGTACAGAACTCAAATTCTAGTAAAAAGACCAGACTTAATGGTCCAACTGAGACTGGAGGAACCCCAGCAAGCATGGCCCCTGGACTCTGTCAACCTAGAACTCAATTCCCGAGGCCAACTCTTCAGACAAAGATTGGACTGGACCGTGGGATGTAAAATGATACTCGTGAAGAGTGTGTTTCTTAGCTCAAGTAAATACATGAGACTAAATGGGCAGTTTCTGTCCAGAGGTGAGATGAGAAGGCAGAGAGGGTTATGAGCTGGTTGAATGGACACGGGAGATCAGGGGTGGAAAGGAGGAGTATGCTGTCACAGTATAGGAAGAGCAATTAGGGTCACATAACAATGTATGTATAAATTTTTGTATGAGAGACTAACTTGAATTGTAAACTTTCGCTTAAACTACAACAATTAAAAAAAAAAGTGGGAATTAAACCCCACACAACTAAATGACCAATGGATCAAAGAATAAATTATAAGAGAAATCAGATAATAATTTGAGAATAGTTAAAACAAAATTACAACATAAAAAAAGGAATGCATATAAAAACAACATATTTTTACTCATCAGGCTTTGATTTTTTAAAATTAATTATATCCACTACGTCCACTACTTGTGAGGATGAGGAGAAATAAGCCCTCTCATATACCGCTAACAGGAATGAGAATTGGTAAACATGTTTTAATAGAGCAACTAGGCAGATTCTACCAAAATGTTAAACGCTTATATAATTTGATCTAGCACTTCCACTATACCCAAAATATATACAAAAACTGAAAATGAAAAACAATTTGGAAACAAATGTTTAACTATAATGAACATGGTATATCCATACTACAATATATTCTACAATCGTTAAAAAGAAAATAGAACAAAAATGAAAACACAACCTATCAAAATTGTGGGATACAGCTAAAGCAGTGGTTAAAGGGAAATTAATAGCACTAAATGCTTACACGAGAAAAGATCTCAACTCAATAATTTAAGCTTCCACCTTAAGAAACCAGAAAAAGATAACATGATAAACCCAAAGCACGCAGAAGAAAATAAATAATAAAAGACCAGAAATCAAAGAAATTAAAAACAGCAAAACAAAAGAGAAAAATCAATAAAACTAAAAGCTGATTCTTTGAAAAGATCTATAAAATTGATAAACCTCTAACAAGAGTGACAAAGGGGAAAAAAAAAAGGCAAGACACAGGATTATCCATATCAGAAGTAAAACAGGATGTAACTACTAGACTCAGGAGACATTAAAAGGACACTAAGAGAATACTAAGGAGCTCTGGTGGCACAGTGGTTAATAACTCAGCTGCTAACCGAAAAATTGGCAGCTCGAACCCACCAACCGCTTCCCGGGAGAAAGATGTGGCAGTCTGCTATGGCGGAATGCCCTTTGGGGCAGTTCTACTCTGTCCTATAGGGTCACTGGAAGTCAGAATTGGCTTGATGGCAATGGGTTTAAAAGAATACTATGAGTAACTCTGAGTACATACATTAAAAAACTTACAAGAAATGGACCAGTTCTTTGAAAACTGCAAACTACCAAATCCATCCAAAATTAAACAGATAATCTAAGAAGTCCTGTAACTATTAAGGAAATTAAATTCATAATTAATTACCTGCAAAAGAAATCTCCAGGCACAGATGCATTCACTGGTGAACACTACCGAACATTTATTTAAAAAAGAAATAATACCAATTCTAATCTCTTCCAGAAAACAGGAGAGTTCCCAACTCATTTCATTAGGGCAGCATCACCCTGATACCAAAACCAGACAACAATGGTACAAAAAAAGAAAATACAGAAAAATAGGAGTTTGAATTGACTGGACGGCAGCTAACAACAATATACCTCATGAACACAGACACAAAAATATTCAACAAGGAATTAGCAAATCGAATTCAACAATATACGAAATAGGACACCACGACCAAGCAGGGTTTATCTCAAAAATGCAAGACAGGTTCAATATTTGAAGATCAATAATGTAATACACTGTATTATCAGTCTAAAGACTAAAAAGCACATGATCATATCAAGTGATGCAGGAAAATCATTTGACAAAATTCAACATCTAATTATAATAAAAACTCTCAGCAAACTAGAACTAGAAGGGAACCTCCACTGATAAAAGGCATCTACAAAAAAGCTATGTGTATTTATGTAAATATGTATTTTTTAACGATTAAGCATTCAGTTGCTAACCGAAAGGTCAGTGGTTCGAACCTACCAGCTACTCCTCAGGAGAAAAGGCCTGGAGATCTACTCCTGTAAAGATTTCAGCCTAGGAAACCCTATGGGGCAGTTCTTCTCTGTCACAACTAGTCATAATGGGGTGTTATGAGTTGGAATCGACTCGATGGCAACAGGTTTGGTTTTTGGTTTGTGAGTCGGAATCAACTTGACAGCACACAACACACATGTATTTTTATATATAAGTTTATATGTAAAAACACAGGAAAAGGGCTAGAAGGATATGCCCCCAAACTGCTGATATTAATTACCTCTGAATAGGAGAATGGAAGTGCAATCAAGTAACAGAGAAGCTTCATACTTTACTCAACATACCTTAAAAACTGTCTAGAATTTTTATGAGGATATATTTGTGTATTACTTGTATCATAAAAATGGCGGGTGGGTGGAGGACAGGAGATCTTTAGGGTAAGTCAGAGACATCTTGAGTCTACAACAAGAAAGTATTCAGAGACATAATCGTGTTTGAATCAAAAGAACGTAGCAATCAGCTTGGGGGTGGAGGTCCCACTGGCCAAAATCATAACAATTTGAGCATTAAAAAAAAATAAAATAAATAACTGAAATATTTTGAATATATCAAACTTCACAGGCTCACAAACAAAAACTCATTTGCTACCACTGGAGGTAATCATGAACATCAACTTCTAACTTCGAAAATTGGAAAAAGGAAAAAATAAAGCATTTATCCTGGCTTTTCAGTAGAAATTATATTTTAAAGTAACCAAAGAGGCCCTGTTGATGAGTGAGGGAAAGGTCTGTGTTACAGAAGAAAGTCTGCTGATAAATGTAAAAGGAAAAATAGAGTTAGAAAATCACAAATTCTCAACCTCTAATGAAATACTTGATTTAGGCCAAGATTATCAATGCTGAATAAATACTCTGAAACAACTGAATAAAATATACTATCTACACAACAATGTACTGCAAAGAGCACTTGGGTTAGTAGCAAGAAAACTTGGACTCTAGCCCCAGTAATGCTAGTTGGTAGTTCTGTAGCTTCACACTTAAGTGGGACTTTCACTTAATCTTCCATTGCATATAGTTTCACAAAGTGGGATGATGAATGTAAAAAGTACTTATTGTTAGGCTAATTTAAAGCACCACGGTTACTACTGTTGAACAATACTGTCTGTCAATCATGCTTTCTGAATTTAAGTAGGAATAGTACAATTATTCTATTAGAAGGGGCAGATTTAATTAATATGTTTACCTGCCCTTTCTTAAAATAAGCAGGTGGTAAGACACTGGTTTAAACTATGTCACCACAGGAATAACGTTTATGCTCTGAAAAGAAGCAGCGCGAGTTGATCCTGCCATGTCTTCCAATCTTAATTATCATTTAGATACAGTGTGTTTGGATATTTCTTACCAGGTTCTGGAAGATCTAATTTCGCTCGTTTTAGTTCTGCCATAGAAATCTGAAGTTGCTCTATTACAAAATCATCTTCAAAGAAAAAATTCTTTGCCAGGGTCTCTTGAAGAAATTCTACAAGTTCTTCCATAGACAATTTCATTAGATGTTCTAAGAAAGAATGAGAGAAGTAAAAATGCAGAGTCAACAGCTACTTTATGCTGAAAAGATAATATATTTTATTCTGATACAGTACTTTAAAAAGGGATACAGTACATATAAAAATTTATATATGGCACTGTGAATATCATTAAAACTCAGTAAGACAAACTTATTTTCTGATGTTAAAGCACCCACAGAGAAAAGCAGGTACTCTTGCTTGGAAAGAAAAAAGGAGAATACTGCCAAATACCTTCTCATTTGTGTAAGAATTAACTATATCCTAGGCATTGATATGAACCCTAGAGCAAGAGTTTCTTAGAGCAAAGGCACAGAAAGACTACCCAGCATGACATGAGGTCTTTCTGCTTTACTGGTATGAAGCCCCAACTGCCAGAGGCAAATGCACTTTAAGTCTGTATTTACTACTGTTTCAAAACAAACAAACAAAAAAACCTGGATTATTAATTTTATTTGTGAGTTGTACTTCTATTTATAAATTAGTTTTATTGAAAAAAATTCAAACTACAGACACAAAACAGAAAGTAAAAATCAGCTAAGATCCTACTACCCACCATTCTACAAGTAGATGTGCACATGCATGTGTTTATATGTGTATCGATTTACAAAAACAAACTCAACTTTCCTTGCTATTATACTTGTTTTTCCCATTCAATAATGTATCACTGACATCCCTCACTTCAAACAAATATGATTTTATACCATCATCTTTAATAGCTACATAAGAGTTCACTGTATGCATGTACTGTAATGGACATTAGGTTATTTCTAATTTTTTGCCATTTAAAGCTACTCTTTGATGAACATCCAGTAACAATGTCTGTAAATATTCTTAAAGCAATCAAGAATAAACAAACAAGCAAGTAAATAAATAAAGGAGGAGGGTGGGGAAATAATCTCTTAATGAGCTTCAGCTAATAACTGGTAGTTAAGGTGACCAGATAACTTTTGAAGCTTTATATGGTGGTGTGAAGGAACTTCATTTAAGTCCTTGAGCTCTGTCTCCCTAACCAAGAAAACATCCATAGCAACAGGCAGATTTTTGCACAGCTTATTTAATCTAATGATATGGTAGCATATAAAGTAATTGCTATGCTTAAAGTTTATTTACAAAAAGGTGAGGAAATTGTTTACTTGTAAAATAAAAAATCAATCAAGGGTCAAATAAGTAAGACATAATTGAAGACGGAGAAGAAAGCTACAGAAAAATATAACAATATATTTCTACTTTCTCACTGTTTATGGAATATAAAATAAGTATATCTCTTAATAAAAATTATACTTTTTCTTCTATGTATTTGCCAGTTCATAATACAGAAGGAGAAAAAGGAAGTAAAATGGGGGGAGGGGAGTGAGTGATAGAGAGACAGAGATACAAAGAGAGAGAAAGAGAAAGACAGGTTTATGTTGATGTGTAAAAGAACCCTGAGTCTTGGAACACAATTCATCATGAACTGTTTTGTCTTGCTGCTTTGGTTTGTGTGTGGGGGTAATGAACCACACTTCTGAATCCTTTTCTTTAAAAGAATAAACAACGCAGAAGTGTCTTTAAAAAGAGTTTTCATTCTTATCTAAGGTCGGATAATCTGGCATTATTTTCATTCTTTTCAGGTAAGCAATCAAATAATCATATTAAAGCACCTGACAAGTACTTAGAACACCAAGCACAGTAGGGGAAAAAAAAATAGAAACATGACCCCATGCACTCAATTAGCTTATAATTTAGTTAGGAAGCTGAACAGATGATCATTCAAGAAGAACATGATAGTAGAGTATACAGTGAATGTGAAACTATGCTGTATGATCCGGATTTGGAGTATTATTTCACGTTCTAAAGCCTTCAATGATTCTCTTTTCTGCATAGTTAGGAGTCATGTAAATTTTAAGGTTGAACTGAAACTTGAAAGACAAATAAAGCTCTTCATTTTCATGAAGAAAATCTCTCATTTCTTGCTTTTTAAAATAAGGTATACTGCATCAAATTATAAGAGGCTTAGAAATATTGCAACTAAAGACTTTTTAAGGCCTTGCTGCATTTATGCAACTATAGATATTGATTGTACTTGCCCCAGAGACCACAATGCAGTCAAGCAGAGAGATGATCTGGAGGTTCCTCATCTCTGGTCTACAGCTTGGAGCTGTATGTCTTTTTCCTGGATGAAGGAAACAGTAATAAAAAATGTCCTTTCTACACTTTCAACTAAGGGGCCTGGTGTCTTTAGACTGTTACTACAAACCTGAGATTCAGACTGATGAAGAGAAATAACAGGACCCAGTGGAAACAAATATTTAATAATAATAATATTATTAGTGAAACCATCAAACTACATATTGAAACCAGCAACTTACTGCTTAAGTGTGAAAATAAACTGATACAAAGAGAAAAGAATCAAAGACCTCTACAATGTTGTAAGCTTCTACTCATGAGAAAGCACCGATGAAAGTAAATTATCAACTGAAGGCAATTTCTTCACTGATTTTCAAGAATTTTTTTAAACCACTACTGAAAAAAAATGAATTTGAGGTGGAGGTGAGGTGAGGTGGGAAATTAAGAGTTAAAATAAACCTTGATTTTTATAAAATATTTATAGTGAAACATTTTCTTACTTTTGTGTAATTTTAAGATTGTATAAGACATAGCAGTAAGAACTCGATCTCCTTCAAAAATGTAAATATCCCATATTCTTAGGTTTAGTGTAAATGGAGTCTGTAATTAAAAATAAAACAGAAATAAGGTTAACAATTTGCCCTCGTCCTTTATTTATAATGTTATGATTGAGTTTTGTAAATACTCACACGATCAAGAAAACACTGAAAAAACCATTTCATTGTGTAAAAACTCGTGTAGATTTCTTGAGAATCCTGAAAAAAAAAAACCTCACAATGTCTAGATTGTAGCAAACAAACATGACAACATAATACAAAAGTTTGGAAGGCTATGGAGGCAGCTGTCAAAGCTAAACATAAAACTATCTCATTAGGAATCTTCTTTAAGCTGGATTATTTCTCATTTTCTTCTTCTTACTCTTTCCCTCTCAATTTTACTTCTCAAAATCACCATAAGAACAAATCCTTTCTTATGATAGGATTGTAAGATATCTTGACTCTTTAAAATATTTTACAGTGAAGTATTTTTGCTTTACTGTATTTTATAGTAAACCATATATACTATTCACTAAGAACAGGTTTATATGACCCTTAAAATACTTTTTGTGCAATTAAAAAAAACTCCAAAATTACTGACAAGTCAGGTATTTTTATAAACTGTACTGTTTGTTTTTATCAGCTTCAAAGAAGAACCCTAATTTTATGAATTAGGGCTGTGATAGTACATCAATATTAAATTTTACAAAATGAGTATTCATCAAACAACTGGGAATTGTAAATGAAATAAACAACACTATAAATTAGCAAGGTAATTGGAACTAAAGCTAAATGTAATTCTTCTAGCTTCATGCTTGATGTAAGTCAGTATCACTTCTACCTACCAAGTGTTGCTTAAGCTTGGACAGAAATTTATTCAGTATTTTTTCATGGTGTTCTTGGAACCTCAAGAGTTTAGGAAAACCTTGAACAAAAAAGCCTAGAATACAAACATAAAAACAATATTTTATAAATAACAAATCTCTATTTTAAAATCCAACATATTTCTTTCATTTGTCACTGTCGAAAATAAAAAACATCCAGTATTACCAAAATATTTTCCTTCCCCATGAGGGAAATAATTGTGTATACATTTTAGGTAATGAAACTTGTAGTTCAGTATTTGTTTGCTAAAGATCTTCTATGAAGTAGGAGAAATAAAAAAAACCCACTGCCACCAAGTCGATTCCGACTTATAGCGACCCTGCAGGACAGAATAGAACTGCCCCATGGGGTTTCCCAGGCTGTAATCTTTACGGAAGCAGACTGCCACATCTTTTCTCCCGTGGAGCGGCTGGTGGGTTCGAACCACCGACCTTTTGGTTAGCAGCTGAGCGCTTACTCACTGCGCCACCAGGGCTCCAAAGATCTTCTGTAACCTTGTGAAAATATAAAAGAGGACAGAATATTCCTGAGTTAAATGGGAAACAAAGGAGTTAAGAAGAAAACAGAAACTGAAGCCATTTATCAGGATTATCTGTTCTCTTAAGGTATATTGGGTCATATCCTAAACGCCTAAATTCTTTACAGGTCATTCTAATCCTGAACATTTACTTTGTTTTATTGCATATAAATTACTTAATAAACATTTTATTACTCTTTTTAGGTCTAACTCTAGCAGTTCCATCAGTATCATATTTCCAAAGTTTTTATCAGTTTTTAATTCTCTCTATAATCATATTTACCGTCAGCTAAAACAACCTGGAACTATATGATCAATGTATGTAAAAAAATAAAAATATATTTTAACTCAACTAATTATATAATATAATCTATAAATTTTCTAGTAAGTATGTAATTATAAATGGTAAGTTAGTACTAATTTTGTGTCTTTAACTTACTGAACTTTACATTCTATTTTTGTTTACGTTTCTTTTCAGATATTCTACATGATCCATTAAAAAGGGCAAATACATAACAGCCTTCACAATTCCTCCACATTAGTATTTTTCAACCAGGGTTCTACATAACTTTGCAAGATGTTCTATGTATTTTAAAAAGAATCCAGGGGAAATGCCATATGTTATATATTCCCTTATTGGATATTAATGATACAAATGAACTTACTAATGTTTCTAAATTGTCCTATAGAGTAAAGAAATGTATTTTCCTTTGTTTAACTCAGTCTCCCAGACTTACGGGATCTTGGAGCCCATTTTTTCCCCACAGCACATCTAGTTCCAAAAAATGAAAGTATGTTCCTCTAAGAACCTGAGGAACTAATGTTTTTTGGAACACTGTTGGGAAATATTGCTTTATAATGTTCTGGGCAGGACTATTTCTTAACTAATTCTAAGTTTTCTAAGGTGTGTGTAAAAATTTCCAGACACAGAGATTCTATTCCTTAGTAATATTTTCCAGTGAAATGACTTCATAAAAAAACAAAAACAAAAACACATTCTCTATCAGTGCCACTGTCATGGTCAATTTGATAGGAATGAGTGTTGGAAGGATTTCAAAAGTCTGATTTTGGAAGAATCAATATCCTTGAGAAATAACCACTAGCTAACATATCAAATATTTCTTCACTTTTCAGTGATATCTCAGGCTTGATATTAAATCTTGCTTTCCTCAGCCTGCACTTTGAGTCTATATATTTATAAGTGATACCATTTTCATAGAGGAAATACAGAACTTCATGGGCAGACTTGAAACAAGTACCTCTAAGTACAAACTTACCTGTAATAACGACCTTATTAATGCAAGTTTAATGTTAGGAGAGTAGAACTAATATTGCCTTACAAATTAAACTGCTGATAATAATTCCTGAAGGTAAACTATCAAATGTTCAGAAGAAATGACTGCTTTTCAAAATTAGACAGTCTTCCACATAATTACATACTACTTAAATTGTAACATTTCACTGTGCTTCAGAATGTATCTGCAACACTGCAGTAAAGCAAAATAAAGACTGATAAAGAAGAGTTATTTTTTTCAAGATGCTTTTTTAAATGATACTGCCTATTGGATGGTAGTTCAATATCATAATGCAGCTTACTGTTGGAGTCTACAGGATGCAAAATGTTTAGAAACAGTTATCATGCAGATAGTAGTTGTTAAAAAATTCGCAAGCAATACTAAGGGACAAAGATAATGCAAACATACACACACAGTGTCACACAATACCCCCACAAAAATCATATGCTAAGAGTGTGAGATTTAGTAACTTATGGAAGGCCATCATTTTCAAAATGTTAAAATATCACATTAAGCATGTGACAGATTATCTACCACATACATTACCACATAATTGGTAATGACTGACATGAAAAAGGTCAGCCTTGGATCATTCTTTAATACTCCTTCTCTCGTGAGAATGATTTAACTTTTAAGGACAATTCTACTAACTTTTATGTTCTGAAAATTTTTGGTTTATCATAAAACACTTATCTCTCAAACTTCAGAAAGGATTTTTAGAACTTAATCTATTCTTGAGTAATTAGTGTTGAAATTATTCTTAATTTGGTATCACCAGGTGAATGGCACTAGGAAAATAATTTCTGCAATACATGGACAAATGCTACTTTTAGTTTCCAAGACAAGTTAAAATCCAAGCTCTTTAAAATAAAATTTATCACATGTGCTTGGCAAATGTAAGGAGAAAGTATTAAAAATACCGTCATTTTGAAAACCAAAAAATTATGCAAGTTTTAAAATATTAAGCAATCAAATGCCTAGAATGTGTTATTAGCCTTTTATTTAAAATAGCATCAATTTTACAGTTGGGAAAAAAAACTAAACAAACACTTGAAGTATACAACTAGTTATTAATTGTGAACCATTTCTTTAAACATCTAACTGTCATTTCTCAATCATTATTTTGTGACACAGAGTTACGCATCACAATATCCAGTCAAACGTAAACATTTCACTGAAATGATAATTTCTTAACTGCCAAAAAGTTTTGGTCAAAAAAGCATCTTTTACTTCTTCTAAAAATACAGCTTTTTCTAAATTCTTATGAACCTAAATTAGTTTCTTTTGACTGGGGACAAGTAAGGAAAGAATTTTAAAATGCCAACAATATACTCTGAGGAAAAGACAAAGGAAATTATACATGAACAGGAAAGTTTAGAAAAGTTCAATAAAGAAAAATGAAATAAGAAATTAGCAACACTCATTCACTGAACAAGCGCCTGGACATTTTGTTATATTAGCTCTACCTAGCATCTTCTAAAGTTTTGTTTTAATTCTACCCACCCCTTGTCTATCTGTATTATAAAATATGAAATTTTCTTACCATGCATGGCATGTTTGGGGCCTGAGAATAGTTTGACCAGGGCCCAGAAGGCGTCTTCTTCGTTCATATACATAAGGAGTAAAGCTGTGATCTGGCTCATTCCCTGACAGTATCCAACTTCCTAAAGAGTAAATGAGAACAAAGAAACTGGGGTTTTTTAAATTGAATTTACATGTACATATAGGCACATATAAAACTTTGATTTATAAAATATCAGAAAATGCCTAAACACATTATTTAGTGGGCAATTCTAGAGATAAATATTACAATCTTCATAGCATCATGCCACATAAAAGAGTAAAATTATGTTCAAGAATAATGTAAAGGTGTAGACTTTTTCATTGTCCTCTGTCCTCTGTTCAATACTGTTATACCTTCTTTAAAGAGTACTGATATTAATTTCACCGGCCTGTCAGTTTGTTGTACGGTGGTGGCTTGCATGTTGCTGTGATATTGGATGATTTGTCACTAGTATTTCAAATACCAGCAGGGTCACCCTTGGTGGACAGGTTTCAGCAGAGCTTTCAGACTAAGACAGACTAGGAAGAAGGATCTGGCAGTCTACTTCTGAAAAAACTGGCCAGTAAAAACCTTATGAACAGCTGCGGACCCTTGTCTGATATAGTGCCAGAAGATAAGCCCTTCAGGTCGGAAGCACTCAACGTACGACTGGGGAAAAGCTGCCTCCTAAAAAAAGAGTCGATCTTCTGATGTGGATAGAGTCAACCTTTCGGGACCTTCATCTGCTAATGTGACATGACTCAAAATGAGAAGAAACAGCTGCAAATATCTGTTAATAACCGGAATATGGAATGTACAAAGTATGAATCTAGGAAAATTGGAAGCCATCAAAAATGAAATGGAACACATAAAGATCGATATCCTAGGTATTAGTAAGCTGAATTGGACTGGTAATGGCCATTTTGAATCAGACAGTCACATGGTCTACTATGCCAGGAATGACAAATGAAAGAGGAATGGCATCATGTTCACTGTAAAAAAAAACACTTCAAAATTTACCCTGAAGTACAATGCTGTCAGTGATAGGATAATATCCATATGTCTACAAGGAAGACCAGTTAATACGACTATTATTCAAATTTATGCACCAACCACTAATGCCAAAGATGAAGAAATTTAAGATTTTTACCAACTTCTGCAGTCTGAAATTAATCAAACATACAATCAAGATGCGTTGATAATCACTTGTGATTGAAATGCAAAAGTTGGAAATGAAGAAAGATTGGTAGCTGGGGGGGAGGCATGGTCAACATGGCGGACTAGTTAGACACTTCCTATAACCCTCTTACAACAAAGACCTGGAAAAACAAGTGATTTCATTCTATGTGAACATCTGGCAGTCCTGAACAAGGCAAGGAAATCCATCTGAGTCATACCGGAGAGGAAGACCATTTGGAAGAGGTGAGGAGCGTTAGAGCTGTGGCGGTGACACAGCAGAGACACAGTCACGCCGGGCCCTGGTGAAGCAGGCAAACAGCTTGCTGCGCATGTGCTAGAGAAGCAATTTCCACATCGAGAGAGACCCAGCAGCAGAGATTCTGCTTGGACACTCCGAACCAGTGAAGAGCAGCTCCCAAGAGGCTATGATAAGTACTGCGCACACCCTTTCGCGGAGAGTTTAAAAAAAAAAAAAAAAGCCCATTTGGGAAACACCACTCTCCCTTTGTGCTCTGCACTGGATTTGGGAAAAACCTCTCTCCTTTTTACCTCTTATCTCCGTGGTCTCCACTGGATTTGGGAAAAGCCTCTCTTCCTTTTACCGCTTCCCTCCCCGCTCTGCACTGGGAGTCCACTGGACTGGAAATAGATCCCAAAAGGCGCCTTGACCCATTCTTCTGGCCTTGGAAAGGGAACAAAAAAGCTGCTGGCTCCCCTAGGCCAGGAACACAGGGTCAGCACAACTCCTTTGCTGGCCATAGAAATCAGGGGTCTGCAGACTCTGAGTGCCATACACCCCTGTACAGACCTGTGGGGACCCATCTCAACAGCGTTAGCCCTCACTACCACAGTACAACAGGGCAAACATCTGAAGTTTAACGTCAACTGCTTCAGCTGTGAACGGGCAGACTTGTGATCCTCGAAACAGCCCTGCCCCTCAAGTAGGCACTTTTATCGATCTGCAGCAGGGTCTTGAGGACTGGTGATACTTCCTAAAGTGCCTAGTCACCTGCTTCAGGAGTTCAAGAAAAAGTGATTCCTTCGAGTCTTTGCAGCCAACATAGTGGGGCGCTCTTAGCCCGGCTGCAAAACTCACCTACCTATTCCCCCTGGAGAATAGGGACACGCTTTTCTTTCAGACTCTCAGGGGCAGCCGTGGGCCCCCTGCCTGACTCAGCTCAGCGCGTGATCCCCTACCACAGCCAGGGTACAGTGCTGCACCAATCACCCCTGCCTCTCTACAACTGGGGGTGAAAGCCTACATCACACACTTGGAGACTGACTGCCTACACACCCGAGCTGATCCCATATAGGAAATTTTAACGAACTCCGGCGTGCACACACTTAGTGACAGAACCAACTACCTGGTGACAGGACATTAGAGATCAAAAGCTGTCAAAAATCAAACTAGTGTACACGAGCAGCCTATTTGGGCATATCAAAACAAAACAAAATAAGAAGCTAGGTCTCACTAAGCAAACACAAAATAAAATTATAATAAATTATTGATGGCTCAGAGACAACAGTCAATATCAAGTCACATAAAGAGGCAGTCCATGATGGCTTCAGCAAGCTCCCAAAATAAAGAATCAATACATTTTCTGGAGGAAGAGAACTTCTTGGAATTACCAGAGACAGAATACAAAAGATTAATATACAGAACTCTTCTAGAAATAAGAAAGGAAATTTGACAGAGTGCAGAAACAGCCAGGCAGCATACAGACACAGTAGTAGCGGAACTAAAGAAAGTTATTCAAGAACATAATGTCAAATTTAATAGGCTGCAAGAATCCATAGAGAGACAGCAATCAGAAATCCAGAAGATTAACAATAAAATTACAGAATTAGACAACTCAACAGAAAGTCATAGGAGCAGAATTGAGGCAGTAGAAGTTAGAATTAGTGACACTGAAAATAAAGCTCCTGACACCAACTTATTTGAGGAAAAATCAGATAAAAGAATTAAAAAGAATGAAGAAACTCTAAGAGTCATGTGGGACTCTATCAAGAGAAATAACCTATGAGTGATTGGAGTACCAGAACAGGGGGGGATAATAGAAAATACAGAGAAAATTCTTGAAGATTTGTTGATAGAAAACTTCCCTGATATCATGAAAG